AGTGTATTTATTTTTTTATTTATTTATTTTTGAGACAGACTCACACTCTGTTGCCTAGGCTGCTGGACTGCAGTAGTGCAATCTTGGCTCACTGCAGCCTCCACCTCCCAGGTTCAGGTGATCCTCCCAGCCTATAGCAGGGCTATAGGCACGTATCATCATGCCTGGCTAATTTTTGTATTTTTTTTAATGAGATGAGGTTTTGCCCTGTTGCCCAGCCTGGTCTTGATCTCCTGTGCTCAAGTCATTCTTCTGCCTCAGCCTTCCAAAGTGCTGGGATTATACACGTGAACCACTGCGCCTGGCCTGTATTCTCTCTCTTTTTTTTTTTTCTTTTTGAGACAGAGCCTCACCCTGTTGCCAGACTGGAGTGCAGTGGTACGATCTTAGCTCACTGCAGGCTCTGCCTCCCAGGTTCAAGCGATTCTCCTGCCTCAGCTTCCCAAGTAGCTGGGACTACAGGTGCGTGCCACCATGCCCAGCTAATTTTTGTATTTTTAGTAGTGACGGGGTTTCACCATGTTGGCCAGGATGGTCTGAATCTCTTGACCTCGTGATCCACCTGCCTTGGCCTCCCAAAGTGCTGGGATTACAGGCGTGAACCACCTTACCTGGCCACCTGCGTTCTTTATAATTCCATTTATATAAAGCATAGAAGCAAGCAAAATCAATCTATTTTGTTAGAAGGTGGTGGCTGCCTCTGGGAAGGAGTGAGTAGATACTCCAAAGGGAATACAAGGGGGTTCTGAGGTGTTGGAAGTATCTCATTTCTTGATTTGGGTGCTGGTTACATAGATGTGTCTGGTTTAGGGAGATCTATTGACTTGTGTACTTTTGTGCATGTACACTATAGTTCCATAAAAAGATTTTAAAAACCAAACCTTTTACCCATTCAGGTCAATAAAGAGAATATTGTCAGCCCCCTGAGAGTCCTGCCCCAATCTCATTCCCCTTTTTCCTTCATATGGAATAAACCACTCTCTGACATTTTGTGAACATCTTTTCTTACCCTTTTTTTTTTTTTTTTAGATTAATTTTTTTTCTTTTTTTTTAGATAGAGTTTTGCTCTTGTGGCCCAGGCGGTAGTGCAATGGCACGACCTCGGCTCGCCACTACCTCCACCTCCTGAGTTCAAGCTGTTCTCTTGCCTCAGCCTCCCGAGTAGCTGGGATTATAGGCACGCACCATCACATCTGGCTAATTTTGTATTTTAATAGAGTTGGGGTTTCTCCATGTTGGTCAGGCTGGTCTTGAACTACTGACCTCAGGTGATCTGCCCACCTTGGCCTCCCAAAGTGCTGGGATTATAGGTGTGAGCTTCTGCGCCTGGCCTTCTTTGCCTTTCTTTCTGGTTGTATTACCAATGGGACATTCTTATTCTATAGACTTTGGTTTTGAATTTATACAACTGAAATCATACCTTGTATTCTTTTGTATCTGGCTTCTTTTGCTCAATATAATGTCTAAGGGCCATCTATGTTGCCTTCCTTTTCACTGCTGTATAGTATTTCACTTGTGAGTGACCACCATATGTTTATCAATGCTACTGTCAATGGATATTGCATTGTTAGTGGGTTGGAGCTGTTGCAGACATACTGCTATGAATATTCTTGTACATGTCTCCTGCTGTGTGCAACACGCCAGTCTCACTGATTCCAAGACTTACATCATTGCACAACTTAACATTTCTGAAGTAGGGTATATCTTTCAGGAAAATGGTATTTTCCTTTCCTGTGGCCTGGCGGAGGAAATCCTAAGGACATGAGCTCCTTGCCAGCCACAGTCCCCAAGGGCCAGTCAGTACCCTGGGTAACCGGCCTGTGGCTGGGTGGGCCTTCACCGGAGCCCTGCACTGCCACCATGTAACGTCTGATCTGTAGGGTGTCTGCTTTCCTGCTCTGAGTCTCTATTTTCTTAAAACCAAAATGGGTGAAGTAATAACAAATTTCTTCTAATCTAAAATAGCATGGATTGTTAGATGTACTGAGAAAGAAAAACAGTTGGCTAATTAAACCATGGCACACTGTCAATCATGAAGTAGATCCTAGTTTCAGAGATGTCAAAATGTGAAAAAAAAAAATCTTACTTGGAATCAGTGATCTTAGCTACTACCTGGCCTGGCAGGTTAGGGTCAGTGTGAGGGTCCCACCCACCAAGAAGCCAAGAAAATTTAGAAAGAATAAAGTTTTGTAGGTAGGGTCTGCCTGGTCTTGGCCGTGACTCCGTTTAGTGGTGATGGGAGCAATAGTAATGATAAGAATAATAGCTGACATGGTTTGAGGATGTCCTCTGGGTCAGGCTTCATTTAAAGCCTTTTATATGGAGTTTCTCATTGAGTCTGCACAGTGACACAAAGACATTGGTGCTGTTATCACTAAAATCTCAGCTCCACAAGGCCAGGGACTTCATCTTGTGACTTGCGATATCCCCAGTGCGTAGGACAGGACCTATCCTTTGCCAAATGCTGGGTAAACACTTGTCAAATCTGTTTTCCCATGGTTTACAGATGAGGAAACCAAGGCACCAAGAGTTAACTTACCCAAAGTCCCTCCATCGGGAAATCGCAGAGTTAGGATTCGAACCCAACTCCGAAGCCCGTATTATTAACTTCCATGCCTATCTCTGAGGGAGATTTGCTACTGTGGCGGGTAGGGGGCTTGGCAAGGCTTATGGGCTGGCTCTGTCACCTGTGGATCCTGTCATCCACTGGGCCTAGGCTGGCTGATGGGGACTAGGGCAGAGAACCCAGAGTCTTAGTTACCCTAAATCAGTCACGGGCCAAGCATGTATAGTGATGCAGAGAGCCAGCACTGGGGTGGAGCAGAGCTGTAAGGAGAAGGGCTGGGGTAAAGGTTTGGGAGCTCTGTCCCTTGTTAGCATTGTGGCTTTGGGTGGGGTATCCAGCCTTTCCCTGCCTCCATTTCCTCGTTGGCAGCTCAGGGAAGTCTTAATACTGCTTACCTCACCGGGTCAGGAAGGCTCCGTCCCAACGTGTGTGTGTGAAGCCCTCGCAGGGCCTGGCATGCGATGCACATTTAGTTTGTGGGAGCCGCTGTGACTGTGGTTTTGTTAATGCTGTTCTCTGGAGAGGACACTGTGAATAATGAGCCCTGTCCAACCCCACAGCCACTTCCGAGTGGATCCAGTTCTTTAAGGAAGCCGGCATTCCTCCAGGACCTGCTGTCAATTATGCCGTGATGTTTGTGGATAATAGGTGAGGGGCTGACCTTGGGGAGGAATGGTGGGGAGCTGGCTGGCCTACCCACTCTGGCCCACCTGGGGCCTCACCACTGACCTTCCCCTTCAGGATTCAGAAGAGCATGCTGCTGGATCTCAATAAGGAGATCATGAATGAGCTGGGTGTGACCGTGGTGGGCGACATCATTGCCATTCTCAAGCATGCCAAGGTGGTGCACCGTCAGGTGGGTGATGTGCCCAGCCCCTCTGTCTCTGGGTTTGGCATGGAGGTGGAGGGGCAGTTGCAGAGCCAATGGGATGCCTGGCAGCAGAGGCAGGCCGACCCAGGTTCCAGGGTGGGTTCAGCCTTTTGCTATGTGACACTGGGCACATTGCCCAGCCTCTCTAAGCTTACTTTCTCCATCTGTGAAAAAGAGAGAGGCAAACCTATCTTAAAGGGTGGTTTTTTGTGTTTTTCTTTTTTTTTTTTGAGGTGGTGTCTCACCATGTTGCCCAAGCTAATATTGAACTGCTGGGCTCAGGCCATCTTCCTGCCTCAGCCTCCCAAAGGGCTGGGATTTCTGGCATGAGCTACTGTGCCCAGCCCTGGTTGTGAGTATCAAGCTATGTAAAACACTAGCACAGTGGAAACTGCCTGTATTCGGGTCCCTCTGTAATAATTATTATCACAAGGAAGATAATGCTAATCTTTCTTATCATCTCTGGGACAGCAGCTTCCTATGTGGGACCCCGAAGGCAACCTGGCTCACAACCTGGACATTCCAGTCTTGACCCATCCACTTGTAGTGACCAACCTTCCTGGGTCTCTTAGAGTGGGCTTTTCACACAGCCCTGATGCTAGCGTGGCTGTGGCCACCTACCAGATAGTGTATGTGGCTCTGAGCACCAGACCTGTATGAGGTACTCATTAAGTTATTAATATAATAGCTAATACTTATCAAGCACTTGCTGTGGCCTATCAGGCACTGACTCCATCCATCCTCTCTCTCCCTCCCTCCCTCTCTCCCTTCCTTCCCACCCCCTCTTTCTCTCCCCTCCCTTCCTCCCTCCCTCCCTCCCTCTCCCCTCCCCCTCTTTCTTTCTCTCTTTCTCTTTTTATTTTTTTGGTCTTTCTTTCTCCCTTCCTTCCTTCCTTCCTTCCTTCCCCCCCCTTCCTTTCGTCTCTCTCTCTCTGTCTTTCCCTCCATCCCTCCCTTTCTTCCTTTACTTGTTTGTTTTATTTTTGAGACAGCGTTTTGCTGCATTGCCCAGGCTAGAGTGCAGTGGCACGATCTCAACTCACTGCAACCTCCGCCTCCCAGGTTCAAGTGATTCTCCCATCCTAGCCTCCTGAGTAGCTGGGACTACAGGCATATGCCACTGCACCTGGCCTCTTTCATTTATTTTACTGAGATAGAATCCCGCCCTGTTTCCCAGCCTGGAGTGCAGTGATGCTATCTTGGCTCATTGTAGCCTCTGCCTCCCAAGTTCAAGAGATTCTCATACCTCAGTCACCTGAGTGGTTGAGATTACCGCTGTGCATCACAACTCCTAGCTGTGCTTTTTAATTTTAGTAGAGATGAGGTTTTGCCATATTGCCCAGGTTGGTCTTGAACTCCTGGCCTCAGGTGATCCACCTGCCCTGGCCTCCCAAAGGTCTGGGATTACAGGTGTGAGCCATTGTACCCAGCCATCTTTCATCCATTTTTAGACAGGGTCTTACTCTGGCGCCCAGGCTGGAGTGCAGTGGTAAAATCACAGCTTACTGCAGCCTCAAACTCCTGGGCTCAACCAATCAGTAAGCCCCTCAGTAGCTGGGACTGCAAGTACATGGCACCATGCTTGGCTAAGTTTTAAATTTTTTGTAGAGACGCATGTCTCACTGTTGCCAGGCTGGTCTCAAACTCCTCAAACAATTCTCTCATCTTGGCCTTCCAAAGTGCTGGGATTGCAGGCATGAGCTATGGTACCTGGCCTCTCCATCCTTCATCTGTATGAACTTACTTCCTCCTCCACTTGATTGAGAAGGAAACTTGCTCTACATCTTTGCTCTCAAGCACTCCACTTACCAAATGGTAGCTGCTGTGGTTATTCTCATTTTTTTTTTTGAGATGGAGTTTTGCTCTGTCACACAAGCTCAAGTGCAGTGGCGCCATCTCGGCTCACTGCAACCTCCACTTCCCGGGTTCAAGTGATTCTCCTGCCTTAGTCTCCTGGGTAGCTGGGACTACAGGCAAATGCCACCATGCTCAGCTAATTTTTTGTATTTTTAGTAGAGAGGGGTTTTCACTGTGTTAGCCAGGATGGTTTTGATCTGACCTTGTGAGCTACCTGCCTCAGCCTCCCGAAGTGCTGGGATTACAGGCATGAGCCACTGCGCCTGGCCTATTCTCATTATTTTTAATGGAATGGCTTCTACCATCCCAGGAATAGGCCTTCATTTCTCTATCATCCAGGACAGGAACCTACAGTGAGGGCTTTCTCAAGCCAGGGGCATTATCTGAGTTGTTATGGAGAAGGTCACTGAGCAAAACATTTTTTTTCCTTTAAACTATAATTTAAAAATAATTTTTTTTTTTTTGAGACGGTGTCTGGCTCTGAGGTGCGGTGATGTGATCTTGGCTCACTGCAACCTCTACCTCCTGGGTTCAAGTGATTCTTTTGGCTTAGCCTACTGAGTAGCTGAGATTACAGGTGCGTGCCACCACATCCGGCTAATTTTTGTATTTTTTGATAGAGACGGGGTTTCACCACGTTGGCTAGGCTTGTCTTGAACTCCTGGTCTCAAGTGATCCACCTGCCATGGCCTCCCAAAGTGCTGGAATTACAGGTGTGAGCCACTGCACCTGGCCAAAACTTCTAAATTTGAGAATAATTATGGATTTATAGAAAAGTTCAGATAACAGTATAGAAAGCTTCTGTGTTGGCTGGATGTGGTAGCTGAAGCCTGTAATCCCAGTACTTTGGGAGGCTGGGGGGGTGGATCATGAGGTCATGAGGTCGAGACCATCCTGGCCAACATGGTGAAACCCCATCTCTACTAAGAAATATAAAAATTAGCTGGGCATGGTGGTGGTACCTGTAGTCCCAGTTACTTGGGAGGCTGAGGCAGGAGAATTGCTTGAACCCAGAAGGCAGAGGTTGCAGTTAGCCGAGATCATGCCACTGCACTCCTGCCAGGGTGACAGAGCAAGACTCCATCTCAAAAAAAAAAAAAAGCTTCTGTGTTTTCTTCACCAAGCTTCCTCTGATGTTAACATCTTACATAACCATGATACATTTGTCAAAATTAAGAAATTAACATTAGTATACTACTGTTAACTAAATTACAGACTGTGGCTTTCTTTTTTTCTTTTTTTTTATGCTTATTATTATTTTTTTTGTCTTTCTGTTTTTTTCTTTTTGTGGAGAATAGGGCCTTACTATATTCCCCAGGCAGGTCTCGAACTCCTGGGCTCAAGCTATCCTCCCGCCTCTGCCTCCCTAAAAGCCGGGATTACAGGCATGACCCACAGCTCCCAGCTCTTTTTAAAATAGAGATGGGGTCTCACTTTGTTGCCCAGGCTAGTCTTGAATTCCTGAGTTTAGGCAGTCCTCCTGCCCTAGCCTTCCAAGTAGTTGGAATTATAGGCATGAGCCACCACGTATGGCCCTTTTTTTTCCCCATCTCTTTTTGAGTATGTGGATTCCATCCGTTTTTCTTTCCACCAGTAATCTGTTTTGACCAGACTCCTCATCTCTACCCAAAATACAAAAAGTTAGCCAGGCATGGTGGTTTGGCACCTGTGGTCCTGGCTACTTGGTAGGCTAAGAAGGAAGGATCGCTTGAGTCTGGGCAACACGGTGAGACCCTGTCTCAAAAAAAAAAGGAAAAGAAAACCAATAATCTGTTCTAAGATCCAATCCAGGATACCACATTGCATTGCATTTACTTATGTTTCCTTTTCTCTTATAATATATGAGTTTTGTAGTATTTTTTTGTTTTTGAGATGGAGGAGCCTCACTCTGTTGCCCAGGCTGGAATATAGTGGCACAATCTTAGCTCACTGCAGCCTCTGCCTCCTGGGTTCAATTGATTCTCCTGCCTGAGCCCCCCGAGTAGCTGGGATTACACGTGTGCACCACCATCCCTGGCTAATTTTTGTATTTTTAGTAAAGAGACCAGGTTTCACTATGTTGGCCAGGCTGGTCTCAAATTCCTGACCTCAGGTGACCCACTCGCCTCGGCCTCCCGAAGTGCTGGGATTACAGGCATGAGCCACTGCACCTGGCCTGATTCTTTGCAATGAATGTGATAGTTTTGTAGAGTATTGGTCAAATATTTTATACTGTGCCCCTCAGTTTGGGGATGTCTGATGCTTGCTTGTGGTTAGGAGTGAAATGTGTTACAATCTTCTCTGGCAATCAGATGCTGATCCTACTGGTGTTGCTTAGATCTCTAGGTCCATGATTCTGCTGTGGTGACCCAGGTGCCTGTTCTTTTTTTTACAGGACATGTGCAAAGCAGCCACTGAGTCAGTGCCCTCTAGCCCCAGCCCCCTCGCAGGCGAGATTCGTCGTGGCACAACTAGTGGTGAGTCCTAACTCTTCAGGCCTCTTTTCCTTGATTTGAGAAAGAGTTTCGCTCTTGTTGCCGAGGCTGGAGTGCAGTGGCGCAATGTTGGCTCACCACAACCTCCGCCTCCTGGGTTCAAGCAATTCTCCTGCCTCAGTGTCCTGAGTAGCTAGGATTATAGGTGTGAGCCACCACCCCTGGCCAGGGGGCTGTTTTAAACAGCAAAATCACCAACAAAAATATGAAAAATGTTCACATTTGTGGCATCAAGTAGACAGGGCAAAGGATACTTGTTTACAGAGTGGGACCTGAAACAAGAGGGTGAGAATGCCTTCTTTGCTCTCATTTGGGAACATGTCTGGAGCGACTCAGATTGTTCCCTCTGTATGTCTGTGAATGACAGTGAAAGCACTGCCTGTATTGATTTTGGGATTACAAAGACATTTTAATGAGTAGGCAAATTTGCAAATATGGAATCTATGAATGATGAGTATTGACTGTATTTATACTTTTTCTTTTTTCTTTTTTTTTTTTTGAGATGGAGTCTCACTCTGTCACCAAAGATGGAGTGCAGTACCGTGCTCTCGGCCCACTGCAACCTTCACCTCTGAGGTTTAAGTGATTCTCCTGCCTCAGCCTCCCGAGGAGCTGGGATTACAGGTGCATGCCACCATGCCTGGCTAATTTTTGTATTTTTAGTAGAAATGGGATTTCACCCTGTTGGCCAGGCTGGTCTCAAACACCTCAGGTGATCCACCTGGCCCGCCCTCCCAAAGTGCTGGGATTACAGGTGTGAGCTGCCACCGCACCTGGCCTCTTTTTAAATTTTTTTTGAGACAGAGTCTCACTGTGTTGCCCGTGTTGGAGTGCAGTGGCACGATGTCAGCTCACTACAACCTCTGCCTCCCAAGTTCAAGTGATTCTTGAGCCTCAGTCATCCAAGTAGCTGGGATTACAGGTGTGTGCCACCATGCCCAGCTAATTTTTGTATTTTTAGTAGAGACAGGGTTTTGCCACATTTGCCAGGCTGGTCCTCAAGTGATCCATCCATCTCAGCCTCCCAGAGTACAGGCACGAGCCACTGCACCTGGCTATTTTTGCTTTTTAAAAGTAAATTTCTAAATTTTAACATACACATTAGCTTCCCTTTGATGATAACTAAGCTGCCCCAAAACTGTGCTTTAAAACACAGACATGTGGGCCTGGCGCGGTGGCTCACGCCTGTAATCCCAGCACTCTGGGAGGCCAAAACGGGTAGATCACGAGCTCAAGAGACCGGAACCGTCCTGGCCAACATGGTGAAACCCCACCTCTACTAAAAATATAAAAATCACCTGGGCATGGTGGTGCGTGCCTGTACTTCCAGCTACATGGGAGGCTGAGGCAGGAGAATCACTTGAACTCGGGAGGCATAGGTTGCAGTTAGCCAAGATTGTGCCACTTCACTCCAGCCTGGCAACAGAGCAAGACTTCATCTCAAAAAAACACACACACCTACACACACACAGAGAGACATGTATTTTCATTTCTTGAGATGAGAGTCTCACTCTCTTGCCCAGGCTGGAGGGTAGTGGTGCATTCATAGCTCACTGTAGCCTAAGAGTCCTGGCCTCAAGTGATCCTCCCACCTCAGCCTCCTAAATAGCTGGGATTACAGGCACAAGCCACCATGCCTTGCTAAAACATGGGCATTTATTTCTCATGATTTCATGGGCTGGCTGGTCCGTTCTGCTGTAGGCCAACTCAGCTGATTTTATTGGTCACCTGGCAGCTAGATTGAAGCTGGGTTTATGGCCTCATTCACATATCTGATGGTTTTCCTCATGTTATCTGGGCCCACAGGGTGACATGGCTACATGTTCATAATCATCTAGCAGGCTAGCCTGGGCATGTTAACAGTGGTGGTTGCAGGGTTCCCAAAAGCAGCAGAGGAGGGCTGGCCCCAGTACGCAAAACACCTCTTAAGCCTCTGCTTGCACAACATTTGTTCTTGTCCTATTGGCCAAAGCAGATTACATGGCTAAGTCCCGAGTCAGTGTGGGCAGGGCCTACCCAAAGGCATGGATGCAGAAAGGCTGAGCAAATTAGGGTTCATTTCTGTAACACTCCCCCATAACGTACATTCAGAAAAGGGTTCAATCATAAGAGTACAGTGGGTGGCTTTCATAGACGTGATACCTATGTAGTCAGTACCCAAATCCAGCCACGGAAATATGACCAGCCTGTCAGAGTCCCCCTGTGCCCTCTCCCAGTGATCACATTGTCTCCAGGGTACCCACTACCCTGATTGCTAACAGCACACATTAGTTTTACCAGTCTTTCAAATCTTTGTAAATGAAATTTGCAGCTGGGTATGGTGGCCTTTGCCTTTAATCCAAGCACTTTGGGAGGCCCACGTGGGAGGATCACTTGAGACCAGCCTGGGCAACATCGTGAGACCCTGTCTCTACACAAGTTATTAAATTAGTTGTGTGTGGTAGCATGTGCCTGTAGTCCTAGCTACTTGGGAGGCTGAGGTGGGAGGATTGCTGGAGCCCAGGACTTTGAGGCCTCAGTGAGTTATGATGGCAGCACTGCACTCCATCACCCTGGGAAACAGAGTGAGACCTTGTCTCTTAGGAAAAAAAAAAAAGAGAAAAAAATAAAAAGAGAAGGGGAAATAGGCAAAGAAGGAAAGGGGTGGGAAGAATGCCCCAAAAACAGCATTCCTGAGATGATCACTTTTACACACGTCATATCATCAAATGTGTTCTGTCAGGAGGGAGAAAGAGAACAGATTTTTGTTCTCTGATATCCTGACTGCAACTCATATGCAACCGAGTAAAGATAGAGTTGGCTGCTCAACCTCCACCCAAATGGTGCTTGCCTGTCATGACGATAAAGCATCACATTCCTGACATCTTTTCAGCAGCACACTTCCCTCTGGGCACAGCCTGAAAGGCAGGGCCCTCTTCACAGCTTGCCTTTTATAGCAGAAAATCCTGATGGTGTTGCACTCAGCTAGGTAAAGAGTGTTGTGAATGGAGATTCTCACAGGACAGATTCTGCATAGCCAGAGAGTTTGCAGCCACTGGATATAAAGCCACCCCATCCAACCTGAGAAATGTCTGAAGAAGCGCTATGGTATATCTCAAATCATTAACAGAGGAGAGAGAGCAGGCCTGAAGACCAAGAATTTCTTCCTGCAGAGAGGGAGGAGGTCTGATGGGGAGGGATCTGTCCTGGGACTTCTGGGCACCAATAATGCCCTGATGCCTCACCTGGGTGGTGGGTACTTGGGGGTCACATTTTGTTAAATGGGCTGTAATGGTTTAATATAGTTTTCTTTTTTTTTTTTTGACACTGAGTTTCACTCTCTTGCCCAGGCTAGAGTGCAGCGGTGTGATCATAGCTCACTGCAGCCTTGACCTCCTGGGTTCAAGTGATCCTCCTGCCTCAGACCCCTGAGTAGCTGGGACTACAGGCATGTGCCACCATGCCTGGCTAACTTTTTGTATTTTGGTGGAGATGGGGTTTTGTCATGTTGCCCAGGCTGGTCTTGAACTGACCTCAAGTGATCCACCCGCCTCCCCCTCCCAAAGTACAGGGATTACAGGTGTGCACCCCCGTTCAGAAACTACTTTAGGCACTGGGATACAGCAGTAAACAGACACAGCCTCCTCTTGGAGCTTGCGTTCTTGTGAGTGAATTTACCAGTAAACAAATATAGTTTAATGTCAGATAGCTGTAAGAGCCGTGAAGAAAATGAAAGTGATTAAGTGGGTAAGGAGGTGCTGTTTTTATGGGGTGGTCAGGGAAGTTTTCTCTGAGGAGTTGCCATCAGAGAGGAGGCTTGAATGATGAGACACAGCAATTCCGCTGTACTTGGGGAACCGCATGTCAGGCAGAAGGAACAGCAAGGACCCTGAGGAGGTGTCTACTTGCTGGGTAAGGAAGATCCTGGAGACAAGCATGGCTGAAGCAACTCAGGGAGGGGAGAGAACTCAGCACGAGGCTGGGTGACTGATGGGTGAGGTGTGATTGGAACTAGTGTGGTCTAGAGCCTCAGGAAAGGCTCCTAGGGTAGGGAGGGATGGGCTAGTTCCTGGGGAGATGCAGCCCACCCTGTCCGCAAGCATCCCCATCACGAGGACTATGCAGCCCCAGAGTGACACTAGCTGACCATCTTATTCAGTCCCAAGGCTCAGCTTCTCCATCCTCAGACTGCTGGATTGAGGCCTGTCTCCCAGGATCCCACCTGACCGGACTCTCCCCTTTTCTTCCTGCAGCTGCCTCTCGAATGATCACCAATAGCCTAAACCGTGACTCCCCACCCAACACGCCCCCCAGGCGCCCGGACACTAGCACCTCCAAGATCTCGGTCACTGTGTCCAACAAAATGGCAGCAAAGAGTGCCAAAGCCACTGGTGAGGGCACATGGGCAGGTGGTGGGAGGAGCAGGGCGGGAATGTGGGTTGGTAGGAGGTGTTGGGGGTCATGCTCCCAATACTGTAAAGTGCTTTGAAGACCACAAGGTATATAAAGCATTTGGCCTGAATCACCTCTATAAACTTGCAAGTTGCCATATGACTGCGGGCCTCACTTTGTACTTCTGTAGCATGGGGGGTGGTGATACCCCACCGGGAGGATGAACAGAGGCACCTAAGTTAGTGTGTTGAGGCATGTGTGCATTGCCTTCTCATGCAGGGGTTCAGGCTTTGTAAACAGGTGGTCACCAAGCCCCCGACTTGTACCCGGCTCTGTGCTTAATGCCTAGGGTCAAAGGTAAAGAACCTCTTGGCCTCTTTTCAGCAGCCAAGGGATCCTTGAAGCCCTACAGTCTGATCCTATAACCCCCTGGGCTGGAACTTTCCAGGGTTTCCCGTTATTCCAGGAATAAAAGGCATCTTCCCCACGTGGTCTGTAGGGCCCTGTATCATGTGGATTCATCTCTTGCATCTCCCCACTTTGCATGCTCACTTGCTCCCGTCTAGCCTCCTTGCCATCATGGGCCTTTTGCCTTTGGTGACCCCTTGGCCTGTGCAGTCTTCCTCCCCAGACTGCTCCATGTTGGCCTCTGTGCTCCCCCAGGTCTCAGCTTGAGAACTGGGGTGGGCCTGTAGTCCCTGGCTCCCAAGCCTTCCCATCCACCATGCTCTTATGCCTTTGCTGGACCCATCCTCACAGCAATGACTTCATGGTGTCATAAGGCAAATGTGGAAACTGAGGCCCAAGACACTTCATGTTTCTGACACCCACTCCCATCACACCCCATCCACCTCCATCACAAAGTCTCCCCTTTGTCCTGCAGGTTTGGAAGTGCCTCACCCTCTTCTGGCCTTTGATTTGTGTGCCATGAGCAAAAAAGGCTGGGCGTGGTGGCTCACGCCTGTAATCCCAGCACTTTGGGAGGCTAAGGCCGGAACATCGCTTGAGCCCAGGGGTTCAAGACCAACCTGGACAAGATGACGAAACCCTGTCTCTACATTAAAAAAAAAAAAAGTAGGCCAGGTGTGATGGCTCATGCCTGTAATCCCAGCACTTTGGGAGGCTAAGGCCGGAACATCGCTTGAGCCCAGGGGTTCAAGACCAACCTGGACAAGATGACGAAACCCTGTCTCTACATTAAAAAAAAAAAAAGTAGGCCAGGTGTGATGGCTCATGCCTGTAATCCCAGCACTTTGGGAGGCCGAGGAGGGCAGATCACCTGAGGTCAGTTCAAGACCAGCCTGACCAACAGGGTGAAACCCTGTCCCTACCAAACATACAAAAATTAGCTAGGCGCTATGGCACATGCCTGTAATCCCAGCTACTTGGAAGGCTGAGGCAGGAGAATCGCTTGAACCTGGGAGGCAGAAGTTGTAGGGTTGTAGTGAGCTAAGATTGTGCCATTGTACTTCAGACTGGGCAACAAAAACGAAAACTCCATCTCAAAAAAAAAAAGAAGTTAAAATCAGTTTATAAGTTATTGTCAAGACGGTGAGCCTGGGAGCAACTGGCTCTTTTAACCCTTAACACGTTTGAGGGGATTCATTTTTTAAATTAAGATGTGAGTTACGTACAATCCACAACTCATAAGTGTACACACCTCAAGTGCTTGTTGAAAAGTGAGTGCAGCCGTAAAAGCGCTGCCTGCTTGGAGCTGTAGAACCTTTCCACCACCCAGCAGGTTCTCCATCTGAGGGGATGTGGGCTGAGCTGGGCCATGAGCCTGCTCGGAACAGGGACAGAGCCACAGGAAGCCTAGGAGGCCTGCCACAGCCTGGGAATCCTGGGCATCTTCTGTGATCTCGTGTTGCACAGACCTGAGTTTCTCGGTGGTTCAGTCAGTGGTGATGTGGGTGGTTGGGGATTCCAGTCATGTGAACGTGTGGTAATAAAGGACACCTGGTGTCTGGCCTCCATCCTGGGAGAACATTCTGTCTCAGAGGGTGCTGATACCCCCTCTTTGTTCCCCCAGCAGCCCTAGCCCGCCAGGAGGAGGAGAGCCTGGCTGTTCCTGCCAAGCGGCGCCGGGTCACTGCTGAGATGGAGGGGAAGTATGTAATCAACATGCCCAAAGGCACCACACCCCGCACCCGCAAGATCCTGGAGCAGCAGCAGGCAGCAAAAGGTACTGACCCATCAGGCTGTGCTTCCCTGCAGAGACCGTGTCCTTCCTGCTGCATCACACAGGGCCCGTCATATCCTACAGACGGTGGCAGAGAAGTAGGCTCTAATGGGGGATGCAGGAGCCTTAGGTCAAGGGGACGGCGATGGTGGCCACAGAGGAGGGAGACGCAATACCTGTGCCCTCTGATCCTGCAGTTAGTGTAGCTGGGCTCCTTGGCGCCTCTTCCCCAAGGGGCAGGCGCAAGGATAGAGCAATGGCCTGCTGTAAAATGAGTGACCATGCCTGGCCAAGGGCAAATACTCCAAAATGGCACCATTATTGTGAGCCAGAAGACAAGTGGAGATATAGTCCAAAGCTAGGCCTTGTATCTGGAAGTACAGAGATGATCTCTTGGCTGGGCATGGTGACGCACAGCTGTGATCCCGGAACTTGGAGATTGGGGCAGGAAGATCACTTGAGCCTAGGAGTTCAAGCATGCTGTCTCTATTAAAAAAAAACAAAAGGCTGGGGATGGTGGCCTATGCTTGTTGCTCCAGCACTTTCGGAAACATATTCAGTAAAAACAAACTCTTGCTGGGTGCAGTGGCTCACACTTGTAATCCCAGCGCTTTGGGAGGCTGAGGCGGGCAGATCACGAGGTCAAGACATCAAAACCATCCTGGCCAACATGGTAAAACCCTGTCTCTACTAAAAAATAAAAAAAAAATTAGCTGGGTGTGGTGGGGCACGCCTGTAGTCCTAGCTACTTGGCAGGCTGAGATACAAGAATTGCTTAAACCTGGTGGGTAGAGGTTGCAGTGAGCCAATATTGTGACACTGCACTCCAGCCTGGCGACAGAGCGAGACTCTGTCTCAAAACAAAACAAAACTCTTAGGCCGGGCGCGGTGGCTCACTACTGTGTAATCCCAGCACTTTGGGAGGCTGAGGCAGGTGGATCACAAGGTCAAGAGATCGAGACCCTCTTGGCCAACATGGTGAAACCCCGTCTCTAAAAAAAAAACCAAAAATTAAACAAAACAAAACAAAACAAAACTCTTTTTCCTCCCTCCCATGTCCCTGTCTCTTGTTAACCTCTCCAGACCAACATCTATGTACGTATATGTACACATATATAGGCAGTTTTTCTTTTTTAGTTTTAATTTTTATTTTTTTGAGACAGGGCCTCACTTCACCCAGGCTGGGGTGCAGTGGCACCATGTTGATTCATTGCAGCTTCCTCGACCTCCGAGGTTCAAGCAGTCCTGCCTCAGCCTCACGAGTAGCTGGGACTATAGCATGCACCACCACGCCCACCTAATTTTTGTGTTTTTTTGTAGAGATGGGGTTTTGCTATGTTGCCCAGGCTGGTCTTGAACTCCTGAGCTCAAGTGATCTGCCCACTTCAGCCTTCCAAATCGCTAGGATTACAGGTGTGAGCTACTGCACCTGACCTAGTTTTTCATTTTTAAATACAAATAGCATTTGTGTTTATAATGTCAGTATTGTTCTATAACTTTTTTTTTTTTGAGACAGTCTCGTTCTGTTGCCTAGGCTGGAGTGTAGTGGCATTATCTCAGCTCACTGCAACCTCTGCCTTCTGCATTCAAGCGATTCTCCTGCCTCAATCTCCCAAGTAGCTGGGATTACAGGCGCACTCCACCATGTGCAGCTAATTTTTATATTTTTAATAGAGACGGGGTTTCATCATGTTGCTCAGGCTGTTCTCAGACTCCGGACCTCAGGTGAACCACCTGTCTTGGCCTCCCAAAGTGCTGGGATTACAGGCGTGAGCCACTGTGCCTGGACCTAACATTTTTTTTTTTTTTTTTGAGACAGAGTCTTGTTCTGTTGCCTAGGCTGGAGTGCTGTGGTATGAACACAGCTCATCGCAGCCTTGAACTCCTGGGTTCCCACCTTACCTCCCTGGTAGCAGGGACTACAGGTGTTGGCCACCATGCCCAGCTAATTTTTTTTTTTTTTTTTGAGACAGAGTTTTGCTCTTGTTACCCAGGCTGGAGTGCAATGGCGCGATCTCGGCTCACCGCAACCTCCGCCTCCTGGGTTCAGGCAATTCTCCTGCCCCAGCCTCCTGAGTAGCTGGGATTACAGGCACGCGCCACCACGCCCAGCTGATTTTTTGTATTTTTAGTAGAGACGGGGTTTCACTATGTTGACCAGGATGGTCTCGATCTCTTGACCTCGTGATCCACCCGCCTCGGCCTCCCAAAGTGCTGGGATTACAGGCGTGAGCCACCGCGCCCGGCCCGCCCAGCTAATTTTTAAAGTCTCATCTCTAACTCTTAGGCTCACACAATCTGCCCACCACTGCCTCCCACAGTATTGGGATTACAGACGTGAGCCACCACTCCTGTTCTACAACTTTTTTGTTCATATATTCGTGTGTGTGTGTGTGTGTGTGTGTGTGTGTATAAAATCTTTGGGATTCAGAATATGTATATATATATATACACACACATACATACATACATACATGCATATATATATATCTAGAGAAAAGGTCTCACTACATTACCCAGATTGTTCTCAAAGTCCTGGGTTTCAGGTAATCCTCCTGCCTTGGCCTCCCAAAGGGATTACAGGCATGCCCTGCCATGCCCGGCGCATGTTCTATAACTTTTTAATTGAGATCTTCTCATATTAGTGCAGGTAGATCTGCTTCATTCTTTTTTTAATGGTCATTTTTTATTTCCAGAGTATTTATATACCATAATTTAGTAAACAGTCTATTGATGGCTGTTAGGTTATAATTTATTTAGGGGAGGATGCATTACCACTCATCAGATTCTCTCAGAGGCCTCTGACCCCAAGAAGTGGAAGGAATGTGCAGGGACTGAGAACTGTTCCCGTGCACACAGTGCATGAGCTAGTGCTGAGGTGCAGGGAATCTGCCAGCTGCAGCTGGTCTTTCCCACGTGTGACTCCAGCGAGATATGGGTGGGTTAAGGTCAGCGTGAGCCAACAGGGTAGACATAACACCCAACTCAGCACAGTCTGGCCCTGCCTATCCCATAGCTACTGGTGTCTGGGCTGCCTTGGTGTCTGTATGGTACTCAGCCTAGGGCTGGCCCACCGGGGCCTCTCCCTGATGGCCTCACTTCCCTTGCAGGCCTCCACAGGACATCTGTGTTTGACCGCCTCGGCGCTGAGACCAAGGCAGACACCACGACGGGGAGTAAAGTGAGTGGGGATGGGGAACAGTCCTGGGCATTCGAGCTCTTGTCCTCTCTGAGAGATGCTCCTGACTCTTATGTATCTCACCGATCACTTGGCTGCCTTTCCAGCCTCGGTTCCTGGCTTCGCACTGGCAGTTTGTCCCTGTCTTCTGCCCTGGCTTCTCTCCTAATTTCCAGCCCTGGGGGTCCAGAGACTCCTGAATGCCTCCCACCCACCATGTCCCCTACTGGTCTTAGCATCTTCCCCAAAGTAAGTACTCTCCTGGGCCCCCATCTCAGGGCTGCCCACCCTCCCCATTGCATCTGTCAGTGGGTCTGATGACTCTACCGCTTCTCCCTCCTCTGCCACCTCTCCCTGTCCGGATAGGATGATAGCTTCCTGAATGGTCTTGCACAGCTGCCATGGACCCCCAGTCCCCACAGCAGCAGTGTGTGCGGCCCACAGGACAGGGCCCGTCCCCCCAGCAGAAGCCCTGTAGACACTTTTCACTGTGTTCCTGATGCAGCACGCACTTCCTGCCATGGCCTGCAGTCCCACAAACCCCAGGCATGGTGTGTGGTTCAGAGTAGACCCTGAAGCCCGCAGGGGCCTGACTCTGTGGCTCTGGCCATGTCACTTAAGCCCTTTGTACTTCATCCTCCTCATCTGCATAGACGCACCTCCTAGGACAGCTGGAGGGTTGAGGTCATCCCTGCATGGTGCTGGGGTGTGCAGGCCTGTTGGTGAACTATTGCAGATCTCCCCAGCTGTCTTCCCTGCCTGCCAGTGTCCTGCTCCCCAGGGTGCAGCCACTCAGCTTGCTCACTTCCTAGCATCTCACCACAAGGAGAGTGGGAACACTCGGGATCATGTGGAAGATCCAGGCCTGTGAAGAGCTGGGCACGTAGTGAGTGCTCCATACGCAGGATTATGCTTCTTGCCTTCAGGGCATAGCGCATGCTCTTTCCTTTGCTAATTCATCTTTGAGGACCTAGCATCAAAGTTGGTGCCTCAGGGAAAGTTCCTCTGGACTGATGATGAGGTGCCTGTGTCTCCTGCCCTCCAGCTCTCCATTCTCCCATCATAGAATATGTTACTGTCCTTCTTGCAGAATCATTTGTGTCATTTCTGATGCCAAGCCTGTCTCCCCCACTGGATTGAGCCCCATGAGGGCAGAGCTGAGGCTGTCTTGGTCATCACTGTGTCCCTAGCACTGCTGGCCTAGGACCAGGTACAATATAGATTGCAGACTCAAAGTATTCGTGGAGTGAATGACTAATCTCTCCACTCCACTCATCCCCACCTACTGACCTTGCAAATGACTTTCCCTTTGCATGGCACACCTGTCCTCTTCCCCCTTTATTGGACCCACTTCCAGCTCAGATGTCCCCTCTCTCAGGGAGCCTTCCCTGAACTTCCAGGAAGGTCAGATACTTCCTTTGGGCTCCTCCAGGGCCCTGGACTCCCCCTATCATGGCTCTTGCCACTATCTGGGGTGTCACTGATGGGTGTTTCTCCCAACTGTGAGTCCTAGGAGGCCAGGCACAAAGGAAGAAGCTCTCCATGAATGTGTGTTGAGTGACTCAGTGACTCGTTCGTCTTGTCTCTGACCTCCACAGCCCACAGGAGTCTTTAGCCGCCTGGGGGCCACCCCAGAGACAGATGAGGATCTGGCCTGGGACAGCGACAATGACAGCAGCAGCTCTGTCTTGCAGTATGCTGGGGTCCTGAAGAAGTTAGGACGGGGACCAGCCAAGGCCAGTCCCCAACCAGCACTGACTGTCAAAGCTAAGGCCACAAGCTCAGCGACAACGGCCACTGCCCCGACACTGCGGCGCCTGGCACTTTCCTCACGGTCAGGGCTTGAGAAGAAGCCGGAGTCCTTATCTAAAGTCAGCATCATCCAGAGACTGGGCGCAGCTGCCCTTGTGCCCGAGGCCCAGGACAGCCAGGTCACCAGCACCAAGAGTAAGTCCTCAGCCGAGGTCAAGGTCACCATTAAGAGGACTCTGGTGGGGCCCCGGGGGAGCAGCTCCAGCGAGGGCCTTGGTGCCCAGATGGACCACGCGGGCACTGTGAGCGTGTTCAAAAGACTGGGCCGCAGGACCTTCTAGCCCACATGTGGGCGGGGTACAGGCAGCAGAGCTCGTGGGCATCTGCCCCCGGCCCGCTCCAGGCCCCTGGCTTCATCATGCCTCCCCGCCAGCTCCTGGATGACATGGCTTGTCTCCCTCGGGCTCTGGAGCTGGGCCCGAGCGTTTGGGGGATTCCCCCATTTCTCCCAGCCTGGGATGGTCGTCGCGGCTGGCCTGGCCCACTCCAGGACTCCCCTTCTCTCATGTCCTCTGTGCTTTCTTTTCTGGCTGTGGCCTTGGCAGAACCCACTTTTCTACCTCTCCCAAGTGCCAGGGGCCCTCTTCCTCTCCTACATTCCCTTCCCCAACCAGGAGGGTCTGCTGCCTCAGACCCCAGCTCATTAGCCTCCCTGTCCTCCAAAACTGAGTGGGTGTCACCTGGAGGGCCTCCCTTCCCCCACTCCCCATCGACCTCCCTCACTCCTCTGCGCCTCCCCCAACTGCTGTGACTTCTCTCTCTCCCTATCTTCATTCTGTTCATTTCTCTTCTGTTTTCTGTCCCCGTGGCAAGGCCCGACTGTCCGCTGCATCCTGCCCGACCCTCCTGTACCTCCGGCCTCCCAGCGGCCCCCTCGTCGGCGGTGGCGTCGAGCCTGTTGAGACTGTTGGCCGCCCTCCACTCCCAGGCTGGGGGGACCTCTCCAGACCCTGGGCTGCGGCCAAGGCGCATCCGTTTTCCTGCCCTGGGCGTCTTTGTCTCTGAAAGTCTCTGGTGGGTGGTGGGCAAGGGGCACTGGGAAGGGAGGCCAGGGCTTAGGGTGAAGACAGCTGCTGTTTAATATATTTTTGTGACTTTCAAATTGCTTCCCCACCTCCTTCAGGGTGAGTTGCAGGACTATTTCACACCATGTGCAGTGCAGGTGAGGGGTGCTGGCACAGGGTTGGGCTGCGTCTCTGGAGGTCAGGCTTCCTGCATACATGGGGGCCATGTCCCTGCTGCAGCCCTGAGTCGAGGGGATTAATGGCCACAGTCACCATTCAGTTAGGCTGCCCCTGCCCCCAACAAGCCGTAGTGGTTCTGTCACTCTGTCCCCTCCCCCATGGATTTCACCTGCTTCTGCCACTCTGCCTGTTGGCACCTTTCCAAATGATGGGCTCCCTTTATGAGACCATGAGTTTCCATTGGTTTGATCGCTTACCCCTCCCTGCTGTACAGTGCCCCTGAGCCAGGCCTGTCCTAGGAGCTGGGAGCAGGCAGTGAGCAGGGCTGGCCAAGGCCCTGCCTGTGGGGCCTCTCCAGGGGTGGGGTGTAGGTGAAGCAGTGGTGCTGGCCAAGGAGTTCAAGGGGTAGGAGAAAGTGGCCAAGGCCACTTGAGGGGTTGGGATAGGAAGGCCTTTGAGAAGGGATGACGTGGAGGTTGAGCTGGGAATGTGGCTTCATAAAGTTCAGGAGGAGCTTCCAGGCAGAGGGACAGCCAGGGGCAGAGGTGCTGAGGTGGGACAAGGAACAGGAAGAGGGCTGGTGGCTGTGAGTGAGGGTGGGGCCACTGTACAGCACAAGGCAGAGGTAGGTGGGCAGGAGCCAGGTGGCTGGGGGCGCTGGACCAAGGAGGAGGAATATGCACAGTGAACCAGGAGTGCTGGTCGGGAGGATTTGGAGCGGGGTGTACTGAGCTGAGTTTCGTTTAGGACCATTGCTCTGGCTTCTGTGAGGAGAAGGAATGGCTGGCAGGGCTGGGGTGGACATAACTGCAGCAGTCCGGGTGGGAAGCCAGGGTGGCTGTGTGAGGGGATGGCAGTGGGGAGCAGGGAAGAGCGCTGCTTGGGCTGCTTAGGGTGTGCTTTGGAGGAAGAGCTGTGGGATGTGCTGATGGGTTGGAAGTTGGAGCCCGGAGAAGATAAAAATCACAGGGCCCGCCTAGATGTTAGACCTGATCATTTGGGGGAACGGCTGTTAATGGAGAAGGGGAGACTGGAGGGAGCAGCAGGTCAGGGAGGAGGGGGCTGTGTTCTGATCACATTGTCCCTGTTAGGGCCCCCCTGGGGCTCAGGGGGCCACCTGGGCTGGGGGTCCATGGCTGTGGACAGTGCGCAGGGTATAGCTGGAATCAAAGCCAAGGGCCTGATCAGACCAGCTGGAAAAGGAACATAGAGATTGGAGGGGACCTAGGAGGGAATCTGGGGCCCTTTCTCTGTTTAACAGGATCTGACAGAAACAGACAGCCTAGGAGAGGTCAGGGGGGTTGGAGGAGAATTAATGAGGGAGCAGGTAAAGATGAGACTAGATCGTATCCATTTATTTATTTATTTTCATTGTGGGAAAATATACATCATGTGAAATTTACTGTTTTAACCATTTTATTTTTATTGGGTTTTTTTTTTTGAGATGGAGTTTTGCTCTTTTTGCCCAGGTTAGAGTGCAATGGCATGATCTCAGCTCATTTAAACCTCTGCCTGCTGGGTTCAAGCAATTCTCCCACCTTAGCCTCCCTGGTAGCTGGGATTAGAGGCACCTGCCACCATGGCCGGCTAATTTTTGTGTTTTTAGTAGATGGGGTTTCACCATGTTGGCCAGGCAGGTCTTGAACTCCTGACCTTAGGTGATCCGCTTGCCTCCCAAAGTGCTGAGACTACAGGCATGAGCCACTACACCACGCCCATTTTTACCATTTTAAGCTGTACCATTCAGTGACATTAAGTACCTTCACACTGTTGTGCACCCATCACCACCCTCCACCTCCAGAACTTCTTCATCTTCCCGATGTCATATCTGGGGCCCAACTGTGTGTCACGTACTGTCCCAGGCACTGGGCGTGGGGTGTGAAGGGCTGGACTTCAGGATGAGGGACTGCTGTAGAGAGCAGTGATAGACCCCTCACCCTGTAGCAGCCCAGGATATACCCTCCTGAGACTGGATGAGGCCTGACCTCAAAGGATGGCAAATGCTGGCCCTCAGATTCCGGGGGCCGCCCCTTCAGGGCAGTGCCACCAGGAGGAGCTCACACATGCACACTTTCCCTGCTGAGCCTCAGCCCTCTTTGTTTCCTAATAATTTCCTCTGATTCCACTTCACGGGTAATTTTAACAACTGATGGGGTGAACTGGAAATTCTAGTTGCTAAATTAAAGAGCCATAGTAATTTCTTAATGTGCAATAGGAACTGCAATGTAAAAACATATATAGGTTATTTACCATATAAGGCTTAGTTGTGCAAGGTGGATTCTCTTACTGTTGTGCTTTACAGAGGCACAGGGAGGGGAGTTAACTGCTGAAGACCTTACCCAGCTGGCGGGTGGCAGGACTGGGTTTGACTCCAAGGAGCAGACTTCAAGCCTCTTAATCCCTACCCTGTGCTGCCTTTTAAAAATATTTATTTTATATTTTATGGAGGCGAGGTCTCACTATGTTGCTGGTCTTGAACTCCTGGGCTCAAGTGATCCTCTCTCCCTGGCCTCCAAAAGTGCTGGCATTACAGGCATAAGCCACTGCACCCAGCCACCTGTGCTGCCTTGATTGCAGATTTGAAACATAGCCCTTTTGGAGGAGGGGCAGGGCGGGGTCTTAAGACAGAAGTTTTGGGCCGGGCACGGTGGCCCATGCCTGTAATCCTAGCACTTTGGGAGGCCGAGGTGGGAGGATCACTTGAGGTCAGGACTTTGGGACCAGCCTGGCCAACATGGCAAAACCCCATCTCTACAAAAAAACAAAAATTAGCCAGCATATTGGTGCAAGGTTGTAATCCCAGCTACTTGGGAGGCTGAGACATGAGAATCACTTGAACCTGGGAGGCAGAGGTTGCAGTGAGCAGAGATCACACCACTGCACTCCAGGCTGGGTGACAGAGTGAGACTATCTCAAAAGAAAAAAAAAAATAGTGGTTTTGGACTCTCTAGAGTTGTCCACTTGTAGATGTTCGCACCAACCCTATTGGCTTGTCCTAGGAAGCATTTGCAGCTAGGATGCTGTAGGCCTTGAGAGTCATATCCTGTGACCTGAGCTGATGCCTCCTCCACCTCCCAGCTGTTCTGGAATCACAGTGGCCCATCCAATACTCATTTGACTTAGCAGTTCTCCCAAGCCCACCCCAACAGCTGTGACCCACAGTGGTAGATTTTTTTTTCCCTGATTTTATTAAGCACTTTTTGATTTTAGTTTTTTAGAGACAGAATCTATGTTGCCCAGGCTGGTCTCAAACTCCTGGTCTCAAGCAGTCCTCCAATCTCAGCCTCCCAAAGTGTTGGGATTACAGGCAGGAGCCACCGTGCCCTGTCTGTTAGGCATTTTTGAGCATAAATAATACATTCGCAGACAGGTTTAGTGGCTCGCGCCTGTATTCCCAGTTACTTGAAAGGCTGAAGTGGGAGGATCCCTTGAGCTCAGGAGGCTGGGGCTGCAGTGAGCTGCATATCACTGCACTCCAGTCTGGGCAGCAGAGCAAGACTCTGTCTGAGGGGGGAAAAAAAAAGTAAGAATACATTCACATGGTTCAAAATGCAAAAGACACAAAAGTCTCTATAGTAAAAAGTATCTTCCAATGTCTCCTAGCCCCCTAGTCCCTCCCCAGAGGCCACCAATGTTACCAGTTTATTATGTAATCTTTCCAGTGAGGTACACACACACACACACACAACTGCAGAGGAACATGTAGGACCCGTGTACAAGCATACATATGCCTTAGTCTAATTTATTTAACCAGTTCCCTTTTGAAGGAAATTCAGATTGTTTCCAACCTCCTGCTATTACAGGTAGTCCTAGAATAAACAACTTTCCTTACACATGGGATCAATTCAGGGTGAATTTGAAGAACACATTATTATATTACACTATTTAAGTGCAAATACTAGTAATGAGTCAATCACAGATCTGAACTAGCCTCTTCTCCAAGATGACTGGCATCCTTCAGGTGATTTATTTACGCAGTCACCACCCCACTTCATAAAGGAATGAAGAGCAGCTGGACTCTTCTAATTGGAGCCCACTGGAGGAACCAGGTCAGGGGCTGCTGGGAGCTAGCATTGACTACCACCTGTGGGCCAGGAATTACTAAATAAATGCTTGGCTAAGTTGTTGGACTTGTAGAATCCCGAGGGCAACACCATGAAAGGCAGGGACATCCTATTCTAATCCCATAAACAGATGAGGAAATGGTGGTGCAGTGAGCCCAGGGCTCATGCTAAATTGCAGAACCAGACTCGCAGCAGCCCAGCAGTGATTCTGTGTGGATGGTGGTCCTGAGACAAGGTCACCTCTGGACACATCCCTTCCTCTGGTAGCCCACATCAGTGGATACGAAAGCCAGATACAAACTAGCAGTATCTGTGACAGGTGGCCAGGGCCTGGGACCGCCCCAGCACCCCTTTCTCCAGTGCCCAAGCACCCTGCTGCTGAGATGAGCCAAGGGTTGAGCTGCAGCCCCCACGACCCCTCCTGTGGGCATCTGACCTGACTTAGTTTGGTAAGTTTGCTGCAACTATACACCCAACTTTGAAGGCTTGCCGGGGCCCTGGAGCAGAGGAGACATCATTTCCCTTTGCAATATCAGGGCTACATCTTTTTATCTTTTTTTTTTTTTTTAAGTAATAGACTTTATTTTTAGAACAGTTTTATTTATTTTGAGACAGGGTCTCGCTCTGTCACCCAGACTGGAGTGCAGTGGTATGATCTCAGCTCACTGTAGCCTCCACCTACCAAGCCCAAGTGATCCTCCTGCCTCAGCCTCCTGAGTAGCTGGAGCTATGGGCACATGCCACCATGCTCAGCTAATTTTTTAATTAATTAATTAATTAATTTTTGAGATGGAGTCTCACTCTGTGACCCAGGCTGGAGTGCAGTGGTGCAGTCTTTGCTCACTGTAACCTCC